CACATCCTGGACATAAATTGTTCCAACTCCTTCCCTCAAAACGACGCTATAGAGCCCTGCACACCAGAACAACTACACACACAAGGACAGTTTTTCCCCAAAGGCCATCACTCTGCTAAACAACTAATTCCCTCAACACTATCCAACTATTTACTAAGTCTGCATTACTATTACTATTAACCCTCCCGTCCTTCCTATCACCCATCTCCTCCCACTTATGATTGTATGACTGTAACTTTGTTGTTTGTATCCTAATGATTTATATTGACTGTTTCCTAGTAAGATTTAATTGCTTATTGTACCCTATGACTATTATTAAGTGTTGTACCTGATGATTCTGACTCTTGATGAATGTATCTCTTCTTTTATGTACACTGAGAGCATTTGCACCAAGACAAATTCCTTGTGTGTCAATCACACTTGGCCAATAAAGAATTCTCTTCTCTTCTCTTCTCTTCTCTTCTCTTCTCTTCTCTTCTCTATTCTATTCCCTCTTCATTCTATTCTATATTCTATTCTATTCTATATTCTATTCTATTCCTATTCTATTGTATATTCTATTCTATTCCCTCTTTATTCTATTCTATATTCTATTCTATTCCCTCTTCATTCTATTCTATATTCTATTCTATTCCTATTCTATTCTATTCCATTCCTATTCCTATTCTATTCTATATTCTATTGCAATGACCTTGGAGTATTCATCTCTAATGATCTAAGTGCTAGAGCCCACTGTAACTACATAGCCAAAAAAGGCATTAAGAGTTGTTAATCTAATCCTACCTAGCTTTTTCTCTGGTAATATTACATTAATAACTAGAGCATACAAAACATTTGCTAGACCAATACTTGAATACAGCTCATGAGTCTGTAACCCATATCATGTATCTGATATTAACACAATTGAAAAAGTCCAGAAATATTTCACAAGAAGAGTTCTCTGCTCCTCTACTCATTGCAGAATACCTTATGCCACCAGACTTGAAACTCTAGACCTAGACAACCTAGAACTACGCCACCTCTGGTCCGATCTAAATATAGTATATAAAATCATACATTGCAATGTCCTACCTGTCAATGAATACTTCAGCTTTAACCATAACAACACAAGAGCAAACAATAGATATAAACTCAAGGTTAACCGCACCAAACTTGATTGCAGGCAATACGACTTCAGCAACAGAGTGGTCAGTGTCTGGAATATTCTACCTGACTCTGTTGCTTCTTCCCCAAACCCCCAAAACTTTAACCTTAGACTGTCTACTATTGACCTCATCCCTTTCCTAAGAGGTCTGTAGGGGCCTGCATAAGCGCACCAATCGTGCCTACCGTCCCTGTCCTATTGTTTCTTTTATTTTTCTTATAAGTATTTATCTCATGTATTCAAAACTATATTAATTCTTATACCTGTATCTTGTAAGCGATTGACAAATCAAATAAATACTTTAAAAAAAAATACTATTCTATTATATCCCCTCTTCATTCTATTCTATTCTGTTCCCTTTTAATTCTATTCTATTCTGTTCTAGTTTCCGTTCATTGCTTCTTGTCCTGCCTTCAGCTGCTTTGGAGAATAGGTTGGCTCCTTCCTCTCCCTGACAACCCCTCAAGTCACCCCTAGTCCTTCTCTCCTTTTTTAAGACCTACCTAGTTCCTTTAGCAGCTCATCCTACTGTTTCCCCCCCAGACAGACCCCCCCCCCCCCCGATTACAGTATCTTTGTGGCTCTGCTTTGCAAGCTCAGATCCAAGTTTGAAGGATGCCTTTTGGAAGGGCTGAATTAGCAAGAGAAGGACATTTTGGCTGACTCCCTGCTTTTTGGATGCATCCACGCGATAGTGAAAAGTGGACTTTCTCAACATCCTCTCTCAAATGAGACGGCGGAGATTTTCCAGACGAAGGGGGAAGTTAAAAAAAAAAAAAGCAATAACTTGAGAGTCTGCATTGTCGGTTCCCCCAAAGCAGATGTTTTTTTATATTCTTGCCAGTGCAGTTCATAATTTGCAAAGTGAAGAACAAAATGAGGGTTGTTGTTTTCGTTCTTCTGCTCGTGCAACTTTTCTGGAAAATGATTTATGATAGGACAGAGGTCACTCGGTGTTTAACAGAGAAGACGTTATTCTCCAGTGCGTCACTCGTCACTAAATTGCAGAACTGCATTCATTTCTCTTTTCTCCCACTCATTTAGCTTCCCTGTATATGCAATACATAATTATTCCTCCCCCTCCCTCTCTTACGGCGATAGAAATTTAGAGGAAGTAGATTTAGGCTACAAAGATGGTTTTCAGTGGTGCTGGTGGTCTCCGTTATGGAGAGGGACCCTATTTTTGCAGTGTGCTGAGCCTGAGAAAGAAATAAAAGTAATTTTTAAAAAGCAGCACAGTCCCTAGGCTGCATTGACAGAGGGATAGTTTTGTCGTTTGCTGGCAGGCTGCAGAGCTGGCAGCGGAGTTGGACAGTGGAGAAGAACAAGGGCCAGTCCTGGAGTCTGGAGAGGGCTCGGACAAGGGATCTGCGTCCGACATAGAGATGGGGCCAGGGCCATCTGGGAGTTACGTGCTGACTCTGGAGCCTCCAGAATCTGACATCAGTGAGGCAGAGGAACAGCAGGAGCCTGTTCCCAGGGCGCATATGCACAGAGCTGTCAGAAGGCAAGAACTGTTAAGACAGAAGGGGTGGCTCGGGAGTAAGGCTTGGAGATGATTGGCCCCTCCCATAGGACATAAAGGAGGAGCAAAGGGACAGGAACCTTTGCAGGGAGCAACTTTGTTCGTTGTGGTGGGTTTAAAATCTGAAGCTCCGTGTTGACTTTGTGCTCCGTTTGAGTTGAGTTGAGTTGCTTGGGGGAACAGGACCCAGCATTGACCCAGTTGAGTTGGTTGTTGGAACCATGTCATTGATCCAGTTGAGTTGGTTCTTGGAACAGGACCCACCATTTACCCAGTTGAGTTGGTTGTTGGAATAAGACCATGTCTCTTGGCCCAATTGAGTTGGTCATTGGAACTGGACCCACCATTGACCCAGTTGAGTTGGTTCTTGGAATAGGACCATGTCTCTTGGCCCAGTTGAGTTTGGTTGTTGGAACAGGACCATGTCATTGACCTTGTTAAGTTGGTTCTTGGGATAGGACCCAACATTAACCCAGTTGAATTGGTTCTTGAAATAGGATCATGTCTCTTAGCTCAATTGAGTTGGTTGTTGGGACAGGACCCACCATTGATCCAGTTGAGTTCGTTCTTGGAATAGGACCATGTCATTGACCCAGCTGAGTTGTTTTTTTGGAACGGAACCACATCATTGATTCCGTTTGTGGGAATAGGGGTCACAGCCCAATCTACTTTGCTTGGTTGCTGTTGGGCGGGAGAAACAAATAGTACGTTTCCATAAACCAGAACAAAATCTCGGCACAAACTTCTAACCAGCAAATAAATCCATAAGGCTTCTTTCCCAGGGTCACATACCAAAGATGAAAGTTGGGACAGAATTGGCCTGAGAAGGTTGTTGTGGCCTGCCAGTGGCCAGCAGAGCTGGCAGCAGATTCGGACAGTGAGTAGGTTGGGGAGGAACATGGGCCAGTCCTGGAGTCTGGGGAAGGCTCAGACGAGGGCTCTGCATCGGAGGCAGACATGGGGTCAGGGCTGTCTGACAGTTATCAGCTGCCTTTGGAGTCGGAGATCAGTGGGGCAGAAGAACAGCTGGAGCCTGTTCCCGGTGTGCACTTGCGCAGAGCTGCCAGAGGAAGGGAACAATTAAGGGACAAGGGTCAACTTGGGAGTAAAGCCACAGGTGGATGGTGATTGGCCTCTCCCATAGGGAATAAAAGTTGGACATTAGTGAGGCAGAAGAACAGCTGGAGCCTGTTCCCAGTATGTGCACTCACAGAGCTGCCAGAGGAAGAGAACAATTAAGGAACAAGGGTCAACTTGGGAGTAAAGCCACAGGTGGACGGTGATTGGCCTCTCCCATAGGGAATAAAAGTTGGACATTAGTGAGGCAGAAGAACAGCTGGAGCCTGTTCCCAGTATGCGCACTCACAGAGCTGCCAGAGGAAGAGAACAATTAAGGAACAAGGGTCAACTTGGGAGTAAAGCCACAAGTGGACGGTGATTGGCCTCTCCCATAGGGAATAAAAGTTGGACATTAGTGAGGCAGAAGAACAGCTGGAGCCTGTTCCGAGTATGTGCACTCGCAGAGCTGCCAGAGGAAGGGAACAATTAAGGAACAAGGGTCAACTTGGGAGTAAATCCACAGGTGGACGGTGATTGGCCTCTCCCATAGGGGATAAAAGAAGAGCAAAGGGGGAGTGGGGTTTTGCAGGAGACAATTCACCTGAAGATCTGTTCCTGCATTCTTGCCAAATATTGTCCGCTACAGCGTGGCGTTTGGAAACTATCGACCTGGCAACTCTCCAGGCCTGATAAAGGTCTGTAATTGTGAAATCTCTTGAAAGATTATCGGCCGGGACTTTGCTGGAGAGGAATTCGCTGTAAGCTAAATAAAAGGGGTTTACTGGGACAAGGAGTCAGCTTCGTGCTGTTGAGGTAGCCCAGGTAAGAACGAACGCCTTCAACTTCTGCACCCATGGTTTTCCCTCCTGGTCTTCACCAAGTAACCTGTTCTCTCTCTCTCTCTCTCTCTCTCTCTCTCTCTCTCTCTCTCTTCCTGCAGGACATCTGTGAGGACCCTCATCTCTTTGTGGATGGAATCAGCTCCCACGACTTACATCAGGGGCAAGTGGGCAACTGCTGGTTCGTGGCTGCCTGCTCAGCCTTGGCGTCCAGGGAGTCCCTGTGGCAGAAAGTAAGCAGTTTGGGAATTGTCGGGGAAAAAAACGATTGTCTTTGCTCCCATGGCTGTGTTTGACACCATGTACTTGGCTGTCAGGTGGGGAGGGGAAGTAGAACTCTTTAGCATCAGAGCGTGTTAATAATAATAATAATATAGGAAATATTAATAATAATAATATAGGAAATTTCACACTCCTTTCCCTAAATGCTCTGAGGGTCATTTCCAAGAATCCTTTCTTAGTGAGCCCCTAGAAGCCAAGAGGAACCTACGGGCCAAATTTCAAGTTTGTAAGCTTAATGGTTCTGGAGATTTTGTAATGATGCGTGAGGGGTATTTCATATATATATATAAGTGTGTGTGTGTGTGTGTGTGTGTGTGTTTTCTTAAGTTTTTGCGGGTACTTACATGTATGGCATTCGGCTTTGCTCGGGTATTTTCCCACGTCATAGTAGTTGCGCTTTTAAAGTTGTAGCGACGTTTCGGCAGAATCTCATCTGCCATCAGATCCGCCATCCGCCATACAGAAGCCTGATGATGGCAGATGAGATTCTGCTGAAACGTCGCTACAACTTTAAAAGCACAACTACAATGACGTGGGAAAATATCCGAGCAAAGCCGAATGCCATAGATAGAGAGAGAGAGAGAGAGAGAGAGAGAGAGAGAGAGAGAGATTTGCAAGCCATTTCTCATTGTAGAAGGAAATTTCACGCTCCTTTCCCAATTGGGAAACTTGTTGGAAAATAAGATGGAGAATTAGTTATATGTATTGTGTTTTGCAAGTCAGTTAAGGATAATACACAGGAGACAACTTGACTGCCTTCTCTTCCTTACCTGGAAGGAAGGTGTTGCCCTCTAGTGGACACCTGGCAAAATTCTACCTCGACTTAACAGCCACAATTTATGTTGCTAAGAAAGACGGGTTGCTAAGTGAGTTTGGCTCTGTTTCGTGACTTTTCTCGCCCACGGCGGTTAAGTGAAATCGTCGCCATTGTTAAGTGAGTAACCACAGTTGTTAAGTGAATCTGGCTTCCCCGCCGATATTGGCTTGTCCAAAGGTTGCAAAAAGGGGTTGCTGCGATCATCATCAATATGAGTCAGTTGCCAAGCATCCAAATTTTGATCCCCGTAGGGATGCTGCAATGGTCATAAGTGTGAAAAAAATGGTCATAAATCACTTTTTTCACTGCCGTTGTAACTTTGAACGGTCACTAAATGAACTATTGTCAGTTAAGAATTACCTGTACTTGTATTTCGTGTCTCTCTCTCTCACACACACACACACAGAGATCGTGAAGCCTCCCTCTTTGCTCCTGGGGGATGTTATTCAAGCGAGGAGGAAACTCACCAGAGTCTTATTATTTGAAATCTTCCTCTTCTTCTCTGGACTCCCAACTCCCTCCTGTCTTGTTTGCTGAACACTGATTTTTCCATCGTGGCCTTTTGAGCTGAAAGGAGCTTGAATTTCTCCCTGTGCTCATTGTCCTGAGAGGAAAAGCTTGCAGAACGTTTATGTATATAGAATAAATTAGAATAGAATAGAATAGAATAGAATAGAATAGAATAGAATAGAATAGAATAGAATAGAAAATAAAACAGAATAGAATAGAATATAGAATAAAAAATAGAATAGAAAACAGAATAAAATGAAGAGGGAATAGATTAGAAAATAGAATAGAATAGAATAGAATAGAATAGAATAGAATAGAATAGAA